TTGCATGGAGAAATTTCTTTTATTTGTATTATTTATTTATTTAATTTGGGATTTGTCTTAAAATTTCAAGTTAGTATATTGTTTGACATTTTCATTTTCACAAAGTAATGTGCAGCCTTCTGGTCTGAGAAATAACAAAAGGACACCTTTTTTTAAATCTGCCTTAAATCTAATTTTGTTAAAAAAGAAATTGTGAGAAAATTGTATTGTGAAATCAGTATCGTGAATCACATCACATCGTGAGTTGAGTGAATCGTTACATCCCTATATGCTACTAGTTTTGCTGTGGTATCGAAGTAGTAAATTGTTCTTTAAATAATAAGTGTTACTTAAATTATAAAGAATATTATATTTTTAACATTAAGATATTTTTTTTGCTTATCTGAAAAATGATCCGATCTGTGACTCAAAATGTGATATGATAATGTAATATAATCCGAACCGTGAGATTTGTGATCCATTGCACCCCTACTCTCTTGACTTGTTATTTGAAGAAAAAATACAATATCTTTTATTCGGGCTAGTTAAATTCATTTTTGGGCTACCAAAATCTGAAGATTGCCTGCCCGAAGGGCTACCAGGGTTATTGAAATTTTGCGAGCCCTGTGACGCTTCAGGTGAAATGTGAAACCTGCAAGGCTTTAAAAGCACACGCAAAATTGATCACAAGTGCAATGTCCTGTGAGCGCAACTATACCGCTGAGTTAACATTTGACGTGAATGTATGTCAAGTTGTACAGTATACTGAGACGGAGGCGCCAGAACTGCAACTGATGTGCGCTGTAGCACAATACTGCGACATTTCTTCAAAAGCAGATCGTGGAGACATTTTAAGCGTCCACGATCAAAAATCATGATATTGCACACCCATAGCCCAAATCTTTGAATTCTTTTCTGCATTAAATAGAGAAGGAATCAAATGCATCAACTGGAGCATAAACTCGAATCTCACCTTCCAGCATTTCCTCATAGAGTGCATGAACTCCCTCTGGAATAATGACAGCCAGTGCAGTGCCACACAACAGCCCTGCTCCCAACACTGTCACCAACTTCAGCTTCTCCTGAAGATAGAACAGTTATCACAAAAACGTGTATTTAGGTCACACAATTATGTATTTAGGTTGGGTTGATATCAGGTCAACTTCATGTGCATAAGCTGGATATCATTAAAAATAGCTTAAAAATATATTCATCAAGACAAGCGTGCTGGTACAATCGCAGCACTCATTCAAACCCAGACTTAATCTGGGACAAAACCAGGGCCATAATCACCACAGACAGAGCAATAAAATGGCCAGGCAGATACATTTAATAATATTTAGCAATTTTGAGATCATCAGCATTAGGGCTGAAACTAACGATTATTAGAATGGTTAATCAACTGATCATCGATTATTTTGCCGATTAATCAGTAGACATTTATTGATTATTCAGCTTTTGCAATTAGTTAAAATATTGAGTTATACATATTCTAACAAATAAATGAAGGTAATCACTTCAGCTTTTGAAAGTCATATTATGTAATTACAATTATAAAATACATTTATACAAATAAATATATTTGGCACACAAAATGAGATGGCAGAGAAACTCTTATTCACCATTTAATTAGCTATATGAGAAAGTAGCTGAATGACACCTCATTCTGCCTAAAATCTCTTTTTGGAAGTCAAAAGATACAATATTATAATGCATTCTGAAAGATCATGTGACACTGAAGATTGAAGTAATGGCTACTGAAATTTCAGTTTTGCCATGACAAAATTTTAAATATATATTAAAAACTGTAATTTTAAATTGTAATATTTCACAAAAGTGTCATTCCATGTCAACTCAACCAGAGGTCCCCGGCTCAAATCTTTGATTTCGTTAATGTATTTTTCTGTAGAAAGACAAATGTATATAGTGATGAAAACCAAAATATTACATGTCACAGACGTGCATCTACTGAGTAATCCACTATTTTGTAGAGGGGGGTCAAAATGACAGTTTTCATCTGAGATTTGGAGCCAAATTAGAAGGGTGTAAAATGACTTTAGAAAGGTGGCAGCATCATTTTATTTTTTACACAGAGATTGGTAGGTCTATTAGTAAAATCTTGTTTCATTATACCAACAGTGACAGTTCAAAAATGGCAAAAAGCACTTGCGTTTTTTGCCTCAAGTTTTCATGTCTATAACTCGAGATGTATTAAAAGATATCTTAATATCCTTTTAGATTCTGATTCTTGACAAACGTTCCTTTCACAACATAAACTCTCTTAAAATACCTGTTTGTCTCAATAAATTGGGTTAATTAAAAAAATACCGTGGTTAAAAAAAAAAAAAAAAGATATTGCTCTGTTTTAAAAAAGGTTATAAAAATGTCAATAATTATCGATACCGAACGATATGAAACTTTATATCATTTATATTTTTTTTAGCTATATCGCCCAGCCCTACATCAGCATCAGCTTATACATAACATTAAAAGTCCATTTTTATTACTATTATTCTTATTTTCTTTTATTCTTATTTTTTTAATTAAAAAAAATCTATATTTTTTTTTTTTTACACAGAGATTGGTAGGTCTATTAGTAAAATCTTGTTTCATTATACCAACAGTGGCAGTTCAAAAATGGCAAAAAGCACTTGCGTTTTTTGCCTCAAGTTTTCATGTCTATAACTCGAGATGTATTAAAAGATATCTTAATATCCTTTTAGATTCTGATTCTTGACAAACGTTCCTTTTGGTATCTTCGTTTTAAAGACCCTCAATGGTTCAGTCGCAGAGATATGGAGATCTTAATGTGGCTCCATGAGTAAATTGGTAAATTGTTCTTATTTTCAGTGGTCAAAAACCAAATGTGGATCACTTTGCATACAGCTGATAGTTTTTTTTTTCTTTTAAAGAAGAATATCTAAAGAACAAATCACGTTAAAAACTAGAAATGGATCTATTTAGTTTTTCAGCTCAATTGCATAAAACATACCCATCTGAGTGCCATAAACACTCTTTTTCTAAAGTTGGCATGCCTGTAACTCTATAGTAAAGTATTCAAGATATCTTAATATCCTTCTAGATTCACATTCTTAATAAACTTTTCTTTTGGAATCTTCATTTGTAAGGCCCCATATGGATCAGTCCAATAGATATTGGGACCCCCAATGTGACTCCATGTCCAAATGTTTTTTATTTGACCCATTTTTAAGGGTCAATAACCAAATGTAATTACCTTTTTAAACAGCTGATAATTATTGGTTTAAAGAGGAATGTCTGAAGAACGAATAATACTGAAACTAGAAATGTATTTTGTTTCCGTCTATCAAAACAGCTGAATACAATACACCTCTCTGAATGCCAAAAACAAATGTTTTTCCTAAGTTTACAAGTCTTTAATTCAAGAAGTGTTAAAGATATCTTAATGTCATTTTAGATTCTTGTTCTTATTTTTTTTTCTTTTGGAGTCTTTATTTTTAAGGCCCTATTTAGTCCAGTCTCAAAGATATCGGGATGTCAATGTGGTAACGTGTAGTTACAATACTCTGTATTTGAACTCTTTGTAGCTTCAGAAGCGAAACAAAATCCCATCTTCCAAATATCCATAAAACTGATGCAAATATTGATTCTTATAAATACACCTTTGAGAGTAGGTTAATGTGCCTCAACTTAACCATTTTAGATATTTGGTACGCAAAGAGTTGTTTTATGCAATTCTTTTGATAGAAGGAAACAAGATGCATTTCTAGTTGAAACATTATTCTTCAAACATTCCTCTTTCAAATGCAGTAATAAGTATCAGCTGTCTGCAAAGTGAACCACATTTGGTTTTCGCTCCCTGAAAATGGGTCAAATTCAACAATTTAAACACGGGGCTGCTTTGAAATCTCCATATCTATGGGAATGAACTATATGGGGCCTTGAAAATTAAGATTTCAAAAGGAAAGTTTATTAAGAATGAGAATCTAGAAGGATATTAAAATATATTGAATACTTTTAGAGTCACAGGCATGCAAACTTTGGAAAAAGAATATTTATGGTATTCAGACAGGCATGTTCAGAATTTTAAGATCTTCCACTTTTCTGCTTTAGTCACTAAAACATGTTTTGATGGCTCATAAAACATGCAGCTCGCTTGTCCAGAAAATCAATCGGAACCGTTTTTTAAAGCAGTTCCATGACAAATCTGTTTTAAATGAATACAACGTAGGTGGCAAGTTAAACATGGTGTGTCTACAGTATAAACTTACAGTTGACATCGCATTAGACTTGTGCCTGTATTCGGTAATGCGATATATCACGGTAATGAATATGCACGATATTGTTATCATGGGCACTTCTAAATACCGTGAATAATTATATATTACTAATTATTTAGAATTTTGAATGCATTTTAAGAATACTTCTCCCATCAACTGGTCAAAATGCACAACACCGCTGCACTACTTTCTGTTTCTGAAAGTTGTTTAAATGATTTAAACACCCATTCAGATTTGTGTATTTGCCATGATGTTCATCACAGCGCCAAATACTTAAATATTTAGACTTAATAGGCTATTTATATTCAATCTTTTTTTCCATTTTTATCTGGACTACAACATGCCCGTTATCATGGGCACTTCTAAATACCGTGAATAATTATATATTACTAATTATTTAGAATTTTGAATGCATTTTAAGAATACTTCTCCCATCAACTGGTCAAAATGCACAACACCGCTGCACTACTTTCTGTTTCTGAAAGTTGTTTAAATGATTTAAACACCCATTCAGATTTGTGTATTTGCCATGATGTTCATCACAGCGCCAAATACTTAAATATTTAGACTTAATAGGCTATTTATATTCAATCTTTTTTTCCATTTTAATCTGGACTACAACATGCCCTAGATATTGTTTGAAAGTGATTTGATTCTTTATTGTTCGGTCACACTTTACATTACGGCTTCATTAGTTAACATTAGTTAACATAAACTGCCAATGAAAAATTCTTCTGAACATTCATTAATCTTAGGTAATTACAATATTTAATAACACGTTGTTAAAATCGAAAGTTGTAACCGTGTTATTTAATGAGCAAACAAAGATTAATAACTTCTGTAGCAAGTGTAGCTATTGCTCATTGTGAATGTTAATGCATTAACTAAGGTTAACTAATGAGGTCTTATTGTAAAGTTTTATTTTATTTATTTATTAGACGCTTTTATCCAAAGCGACTTACAAATGAGGACAACAGAAGCAATCAGTTGCAGTATTAAAACAACTAAAAACAGATCCAAAACTAAAAGCTAAAACTTTATAAATACTACCTATACACATTTTAAAAATAGAGAGATTAAATAAAAGTGACAAATGCATACAACAAAATTTCAAAACTTAACGTTTAAATGAAAACAAAAAAAAATAAAGCTAACAACAATTCAAAATATTAAAGAACAAAAGGTATGAGAGTATAATAATGATTCTAGCATAGCACTAAGCCAAACACCAAAAAAATAACTACATGTGTGTATGTACAACCACACACAAACACAAATACCAATACAAAGTGATACCTATTGGTCTTTATATATCTTTTGCACTTTAATCTGTGTAAAACTTTTAACTTTATACATTTTTCTGTATTGCTTTATTGCATTTAAATGTTCAGTTTTTTTTGTTATAAGTAAAAAGTTATTAAACCTGTTATACTGTCTTATGACAGCACTTTTAAAAAAAAAACTAAATTTCACTATCGTGATAATACCGTACACCGTGATAAAAGCATTAGCAATTAATCGCACCGTGAGAATTTGATACCGGCATATCCCTACATCACATTTAAACTTTTAAAAACTATTTGGTAGTTTAAATCAAGAGTGCTCAAACTTCATGTACATCTCAGTCCTGCTCCTGAGGACCTCAGCGCTGCACATGATGGACGACTAAACTTATCTTCTCAGACAACACAGTTATTTCTCAAGGGAGCTCTCAAGGTCTTAGCACTAAACACACCTGTCCTAAATAAACTACTGGAGACATGTTCAACTCAAGTGAAGACTCACCTCAGAGAAGTTGACAGCTAGGGGAATAGTTCCAGCCACATAGCAGCCGACCAGCATAGCCAGAGACAGCAGACTGATGGAGCTGAAGTCATCCATTTCAGCTCAAGATCGAGGACCACTTTAGAGTTTAACAACAGATCCTGTAACGTTACAAGCGGCCGATGTCTGGTGCCAGCAGACACTTCTCACTTGGACTGGTGTATTAGCCGGTTAGCTAGTCAGTTGTATGCATCTATCCTTACGAATCACACGATTAAACACGAACATCCACTACTGATCTGCTGCAGAGTCGGTTTGGAGCTCTTGGAACACTGACCTGCTCGATTATCTGAACACTGTTGCTCAACTTTAATCACACAGCGTCACGCTTAGCTAAAATCATAACAATCGGCCTGCGGGTAAACACATAAATCAACAGATTTGTGAATGTCTGTCATAGTCTACTTCTCTGATCTCAGGCTGCGATTAATGACATTGTGATTCCTAAATAGGCGACATTGTTTTGTCGCGGTAAACCCATCTAGTTTGCTACCTATTCCGCAGTATCGACCGACACTGATAGCCATTAGCCAACTAGCAGAGTGTAATGTTGGCAGTGTGAATAAAGCAGTTCCGGGCCACTTCACCGACAAAACAAAACACAGTATCTTCTTCTTCGGTTTTATGGCAGGTAGCACCAATGTTAAGGGGCATTATCGCCACCTACTGTATTGGAGTGTGGACTATGGAGAACGAAACCTGCAAAAACAATAAATACACAAATAAATAAACGTGTGTATAAATACACAAATTCTTGTTTAAATACCTATAGAAATAATTAAACATGTGATTAAAGTAGGCAGATCAATGAAATAAATTGGTCGGCCAATGGAAAATGTTTAAGGAAATGCTAAACTCATCCTATTTATTTTCCTTCGATCACTCATTAATTTCTGAATGTAGTTCCGCATTTATTTTTCCTCTGCACAACATGCTAATCAGAGGGTGTCGGCCATGGACTTGGTCGGGTCTTGTGATAGCTGGGGGCGCGGCTTTCCCGCTGACAGGAGATGCAAAGTCACTTTTGTCGTTAATCAGAGCAAGATACATAGAAAAATTTAGCCTTATTGTCCGTATTGTGTCTGTGACTTTACAAACGATACAACAAAATGGTCAGAGGTGTCATTTCCCGGCACTCGATATTCGCAAATCTAGGGACCGTCTCTAAAGTTACATACGACATTGGTATACACTTTTCTAACTTCAATAGCATTTGAGGAAAATTACTTACAGTAACACAGCATTTCCTTAAACTTTTCCCATTTGCCTACCAATTTATTTGATTTATTTGCCTACTTTAATCACATGTTTAATTATTTCTATATGTATTTAAACAAGAATTTGTGTATTTATACACACATTTATTTATTTCTTTGCATATTTATGTATTTATTTGTGTATTTACTTATTTATTGTTTTTGCAGGTTTCGTGCTCCATAGTGGACCAACGTTTACCCTTTCATAATGAGAGGACAAGAATGAAAAAAAAATATTTACCTCAATAAAAATGTTCCCTCTAAATTCTCTTAATCAGCTCTGTTCTCTTAAGATACAAAAATAAACTCTCTAGTCCATAAGTAAATACATATTTTAAGCTTTAGGTTATCCACTCCCATCTTTCTAAGTTCATTCTTTATTGTTTCTCGTTCATTAGTATAATTTTGACAAACACAAATAACATGTTCTACTGATTCCTCCATTCCACAGTGCTCACATAATCCTGTTGGATGTTTATTATTTTTAAGGTTTTATTCAGCATAGTATGCCCAACCCTTAATCTTGTTAGAATATTTTCCTCTTTGGTGCTTCTTTTAGTTATTCTCACTACTCCTACTTCTCGCTGTATTTCATAAAGTTGTCGTCCTGTATTTCTTGTATCCCATTTAAGTTGCCACTCCTTAGTGGTATATGCTTTAATTACTGCTTTTGCTTCATATTTACTATGTGAGATATTCATGATCTCCTCGTTTTCCAATGCCTGTTTTGCTAATCCATCAACCTTTTTGTTACCCTTTATCCCCTATGAGCTGGTATCCACATATACATAGAGAGATATGTTTTTTCAAAGTGAAACTTGCATTCATTTTACATGGCTTTCTAAACATGCGGCTATTTTGTGCGAGACGCAAGTGCAACGCTGATAGATGTCCCTCTAGAAAATGCGCGAAAATATGTGTCCTGTGTGAACGGCTTGGTTTCAGTTTTGACGTAAACAAGATCTTCTTCGCATTGATGTTCTCTTTTCCCACAATATTTGTAATTAACTATGGAGCAGCGCCACATCTAGTGGCTTCAACTGGATAGGCTAACAAAAATATTATAATGCAATGACACATCGTCATCGCATCTCGTGCGCCACTGATAAGGCCTTAACACACACCTAAAATTCAAATGCAACGTTTTTGCATTCGAATGTAGATTTTTATTTTAAATTCGACGAATATTCGAAATTCGAATAATTGTTTGACATCCCTCCCTGTTGAAAAAAACAGCATATGCTGGTTAGGTATGTTTTGACGCTGGGATCCTGGTTTAAGCTGGTCCGTTGCTGGTTTAAGCTTGTCCTTTGCTGGTTTATGCTGGTCCTTTTGCTGGTTTATGCTGGTCCTTTGACAGCACAGGACCAGCATAAACCAGCAAAAGGACCAGTTTTAACCAGCAAAGGACCAGCTTAAACCAGCAAAGGACCAGCTTAAACCAGCATCCCAGCGTCAAAACATACCTAACCAGCATATGCTGTTTTTTTCAACAGGGCTAGTGGTGTTATTGATAACGGTACTGCATGAATGTATCTTTTCTGACTTAAAATCATTTCTCTAGCTTCTTTGTCACTATTCCATGCAAAACACTTCTGTTTAGACCTTTCCTTTTCCCAGCACGGAAGGAGTACCTTTAGACTACTGTTGGATGGCGGTCTTCTGAATGACCTTGACGATTTACCCACAGTAGTTCATCATTAACTGCTTTTGTCTGATTTTTATCGGCATTTCACCCGCTTCAACCTGAAGAGCAGAAACAGAAGTCGTTTTAAAAGCACCACAACAAAGTCTCAAAGCTTGAGCTTGTATTACATCCAGTTTCTTCAATAAAGTTTTTGCTGCCGAGTCATAAACAATACTTCCGTAATCTAACACTGATCTTATCAGAGCTATATACATACTTTTCATTGCAGCTACTCCTCACTCTGATCCTCCAGACATCTCATCACATTTAAAATATTTTTACATTTAGTGTCAATCTTTTGAATATGTTCGTTCCATGTTAATTTTGCATCAAACCACACACCCAGAAACTTAAAAGCTTTAACTTGTTCAGTAGTTTGTCCATACATCTTTATCTGTGTGTCAATTCTTCTTTTCCTAGTGAACATAATTGTTTTTGTTTTATCTATACTGAAAACCTGAATCCCCATGCATATGACCATTTTTCTACTACTTCAATTGCCTCTTGTATCTTTCCTATAATATGATTTGTATTCCTTCCCCGTCATCAGCAAACAATGATCGCCCAATGTCTCCTTGAACTTGAGAAAATATATAATTTATCATAATTGAAAAGAGTATTGGACTTATGATGCTGCCCTGGGGGGTACCATTTTCGACCATATATCTTCTAGATAAGACCTTCCCAATTCTAACTTGAATAAATCTCTCAAACAAAAAATCTTTAATCCAATTATAACTTCTACCTGTTATTCCTGTCATATCAAGTTTGATCATTAACCCCTCTTTTTAGACGTATCTATGCCCCACCCCCCTCTTTAAAGGGGTCATATGATGCGATTTCAATTTTTTTCTTTCTCTTTGGAGTGTTACAAGCTCTTGGTGCATAAAGAAGATCTGTAAAGTTGCAAAGACTAAAATCTCAAATCCAAAGAGATATTCTTTATAAAAGTTAAGAGTCAACCACGCCTACCTAAAACAGCTCGTTCTAACATGCCCCCACATGTCTACGTCACTATGTGGAAATATTAGCATAATGCCACCCAAATGTGCATGCAAAGAAAGCAGGCGTGGTTTCAGGAACAGCAGTCGTGTTGATGCAGCCATGTCAGGGAGACGCTGTGTGATTCAGTGCGAAAGCAAAAGCACTTTATTTGGCCTTCCGGAAGTAGATGCAATTAGGAATCATTGGTTAAGATTTATTTACAACAGAACAGCACAACCCAGATGTTCGAATTTGTGCAACGCATTTTATGGACGACAGTTTTTTGAAGCTAGAACAGTACAAGGCTGGTTGTGCACAAAGGCTATTTCTAAAAAAAAAAAATATCTGTTGTAGAATGAAATGAATCATAGGAATGTCTCAGTCTGTGTACTTATGTTAGCCTATATTGTTCTGTTAATGTTAAAATATAAAATAAAATAAAAAAAATCTTAAAAGTATATTTATATAAGAATATAGTAAGTAAACAAAAACTACTTGCAGATGATATACTAATTAGGCTACATAGAAGCACGAGTACACTTTCATGACTGTTTGTAAAGAGACTTAGCCTAAGTGTACCATTGTTCAGTGAAGTATATTTTTAAAAAGTCCACTTTGTAGTCATGTGAAACTAAAAGTTTTACTTTAAAGAACATTTTAAATCTAGATCTATATTAAAAATCGTTTAAGTACACTTATTTTGATGTGCTGAGTAACATTCTAAAGCACATTTAAAGTCCTTTATTATATTTTTTAAGTGTTATTTGATATTACATTTAAAGTCAATATAGGCTATTTTAAATGTACTGTAAATGTAAATCACAACTTTATCATTGCACGTGTAATTACAGATATACAGTATTTACATACAAACATGTTTCAACAGAAGTGACATTAACTTACATTTAATTTACCATAAATGCTTGTACAGTCAGCTGTATCCATTGACTATATGGAATTATGGAATTACACATAAAGGTGTAGCTATACTTGAGAGGGTCAACAAAGCTAATTTAAATGTAAATGCTAGTTCCAAAGCAGGGAACGCAAGATGATTAAAAAGTTATATTAAAATAATACTAGGCCTATATGCTTATAATCTGACAAGTAATCTATTGTCATTTTAATGGGTCCCCTCAACAGATTGTTTTTGTTGAAGGACACACACACACACACACACACACATATATATATATATATATTCCTGTTGAAAAGACTCCACCTCAGATCAACATAAACTTCTAGCTAAATAGAAAAATAGCTGGTTGACTTTGGTAAAGTCACTTAAGGGCAGGCGGGAACACAGCATCCCATGATGGGGATCAACAAATTAAAATAGAGAGCAACAAATTAAATGATTAAAAGCAAAACTAAAATCTGAGCATATCAAATACATATAAATAAGCTAAAAGATATGTTTTGGGATTTCCTTTAAATTCATGTTGACAGGCTTCAGGTTTATTTCTGTCTGTCAGTCCCAAATCCTGATGTCAGGAGACCACGTCCCTCATGTACACTGAGTGTTCATTGCTTCTGTTCTTAGTTAGCACTTGCATGCTGCATCATTTTGCTTACTGTTGGATTTTAGGGAAGACCGTAGAGGAAAATATTACTGAGATTCAGCTTGTATTGTATTTAAAAAAA